GTTGTGCAACCGGAGCTGTTCCATCTGGTGGCCCGCTCACCTTCACTGATGAATGGAGCGTTGCTCGGATAGCAGCTGTTGCTAAGGCGATGGGCGCGCATGCAACATGAGGGAAAATTGCTGGCGGCGCGCAGACGCAGGTGCCCGCTCATTACGAGAGCTTAACTTCTTGCAACCTCACATCGGAGAAATCCATTCTTTATTCCGGACCGAGCGATGGATGAGCGGCTTGCGCGTCTCTTTCGCGAAGTTGTCGACAGCTGCCACTGGCTGGCGACCGGTCCGGGGTTAACTGACCCCGCTCCGACTCACCCTCATGAGAACAAGCGGTGGGGATGTTTTAGCAGGAAGTCGGGGAGAGCGAGAATCGCCCCCATCCGTTCTATTCGGTGACAACTTGCAACAAAACAGCATGAGCTTGTTTTGGGCAGTGTTATTCCGCATTGTTTGGACGTATCGTGCCCAATGACAGGCGGGAATAAACGCGTGAGCGCTAATTGCGTTGAGTGGCCCGAGCAAAGTGGCGCCGCGCTTCGGGAGCACAACAACTCCAAGCCCCCCTTCTTCTCCAATCTGCCATGAAGCAGCCCCCGAAATGGCCGGCCAGTCAACGAGCGAGTTAACGAGAGCTAATAAGGCCGACGGCGAAAAATGAAGGGCTAAGAGCGTCGTTTTCCTTTCACAATTCGGTGGCGATGAATCGGGCGGAACTGTTAGCAAAGTGCCTCCGAGGACCATTTTACATGCGGATTAGCGCCCATATCGCCATGATCGGCAGCTGATGTGACGGCTTGATAGAGTCTGTGTCTTTGATGCCTCGCGAGGCATGCGGGGGGGGCCTTATCCCTTTTTCAGCCGTCTTTTGGAACACGCTGATCCGGCTTCTCGGAGCCGGTGGAGATGGTGGAGATTGGATTGTCAGACGTCCGCGTATCGCTCCGTGCCATTTATATCATACACCTTGTAAATGATCGCCTTGTCATGCCGACAAATGGGGTAAAACAATATTTTCCCAGCCAAATACGCCGACGCATTTTTGCCTTCGCTTGGTCGGCACGTCAGCAGCTCCCCAACCGTGCTTCTTCATCTCCCGCCGCGCATCTTCATGATCTAAAAGTGCGCTTTCAGCTTCATTCCGTTTTCATCCATCAAGCAAGCGTTGGGGAGCTTTGACCTCGC